GGCAGTAGAAATTTCATTGCCCAGTGCAATAGCATGTATAACAATTTTTCTGTCAAAGATTTGATTTATAACATTTTCCTTCTTTTGTGATTCCAATTTCTTTTGTACTCTTACTGACTTCAGGAAGGTAATTACCCTCCCTAAGTGTAGAAAGACCACCTTAGTTGACAAGATTCTGATTATCTCTTATCTCTGAACTATTTTCATGTCATTTTGTTATTGATTCACTCCCCTAAATATCTAATCAATTTTACATGTTCGATTTAAGGTTCAGGAAAATAAAAAATTCTGCTTAATAAAAATAATAAATAAAATAAAAAATCACATTTCAAGCAATTTTCGCACAAGTCAAGACATATTGAGAAATTCGCGTATTTTAGGAAAAAAGATGAAAATTTTGCGGAAATCATCGCGACAAACCTGCAGTCCTAATTATAATTAATATTTTTAATAAGCATAATCTTTAGTGACATACAAATAAATATGAATAAACATTAAAGTTTATTTTTTTAAAACAATAAAATTTATTTATTTTATATTCTGCATAAGATTTATTTTATTTTCTGCATAAGATTTATTTTATTTTCCGCATAAGATTTAATTTATTTTCTGCATAAGATTTATTTTATTTTCCGCATAAGATTTATTTTATTTTCTGCATAAGATATCAACAAATTCGAATGCATTTGGTACACAGGTTCACATATACAGTGCGTGGGGGGGGGATAAAGCACAGAAAAACAAACAATTTGAATAACTTTTGATTTAAATGATTAAATTTCAACGTACTAGGACTGAATCTTAATAGTTTGAAGGGGTGACCTCAAACATGCTGATTACAATAATTAGTGCAGCTCATATTTTTAGCATGAAATCGGCCACAAAAACATAAGACTTTTAAATAGAGAACTTTTAACCATAAAGCAAGTTATTTTAAGAATATATATTTAAAAATAAAAGCCCATAAATAAATTCCTCTAAAAAAAGAAAAAAGAACAAAATCAATAATTTAGTGAAAATTAAATCTGAGTCCCGTTAGCACACAGCTCCGGGCATTCGCCCGCATTGCTCACCCTTTCCCACAACTCCTTAGAACTATAAGTTATCTTCAATTTCCAAAGTAAGAAAACAACAAATCTTCAGTTTCCCTTCCAAACTAATTACCTCGCATTCTTAAAGTTTGGTAATAAGGTTTAACAAATGTTTTGTGTTCACAAAATAGAGAAAAGTTACCATTTATTTATTTAAAAAAAAAAAAAAATCACTATCATCAAAATAGCAGAAAAATAATTGAATTAAAAAAATAATGATTGATTTGCATAAAAAATAATTACATTTATACACAACTTGGCTGAAAACTGTCTATTGTGGATTGTGGAACATTTTGCCTTAAACAATTAAAAGATTAATTAACAAATGGAGACAATTAATTAAACAATACTTTAAAATTATAGATAGATCAGATGCTGTATGCATAAAATATAAGTTTAAATTTTCTAATGTCAACATTAGCTACAGCATTTTTTTAAAATACTGTAGCAATAATATAATTAAAACCAGTTCATATAACATATTAAGTTATTTTTAACTTGATACTTTATAAATAATTCAACAAATGTACATGCCCACAAAGAACTAGCCTACTTAATTTACTCTATATACTAAATATACTTAACTATATACACAAGCCATGGCAATTTTTTATATATTTGCAGGTTCATAAATTTATATATATAACACTGATTTTAAGACAGAAACAAAAAATTTCTTTAGTAAAAAACAGCATTAGAAATATACAAAACAGAAAAGATATTATATATATATATATATTTATATATTTTCTTTTTGGAATCAATTTTTTACACCTCAAATCTCTAATTCTGAACTAACCAAGCTACCATATAAGCCACAGGGCACTTTTTTCTACTGATTTTCATGCCTTTTATTATTATTATAATTTATGTAAGTAATTATATAATTATAATTATTAATATTGCGATGAGGTATTACAATTATAATAGGAGAGAAGTAAAATTGAAATACTTCCGAACTGATATAGAAATGTAATGTTAAAAGGTGAAACAATATTATTTTCATAAGAAAAATAAAGAAAAAAAATTAAATTAAAAAATGCTTTTAGAGTCATGCAAAAATCTATATTTACCTTCACTGCTACTTGAGTCACTGGAACACTGTGATTCTTTTTTGGAATGTGTAGATTTCTTTTTTATGACGGAATATGTTTGGCTGAAATAAAAAGTACAGTATTAAATTCACGCATTCAAATTTATAACAAATTATTTTGGAATAATTTTACAATATTTGACTTTTGATAAAAAATTAAACTGCTCTCAACTTTTTTGGTCATAATAATAGATAAATAAAAAGTTTAAAAAAGATTTCAACTAATGACTTATTATAATTTAAATTAATGGTAAAAAATGTTATTTTGAAGATTTAAAAAAATTTTATAATAAAATAACAGTTTCAAGCATTTAATAATTAGCTTCAGAAAAAGAATCAAGAAGCAGCAGTACAATTATTGCAATAATAAATGTGTGGATGAAGAATGAAAAAATATACTAACAGTCAATGCTCATTAACTGTTGAATGCTAAGCATTCAACAGTTCTTTCCACTACTTATAGATTCTATAAAAGTATAATTCTGAGAAATGATATATATTTCAGAGAATTCTAAAAAATTTAAAACAGATAAACTATTGTGGACACTAAATACTGCTTTAATTTATTTCTATTATTAATATAAATGTTATTTTAGAATGAAACAATAGTACCATAAGCAATCTTTAAAATTTATTAAAATTAATATGACCATGACAATGACGATTATTAACCATTTCTTATTATTTCACTAACAATTTTGAAAAATTTATCTAAATTGAAAAATTAAATGCTCACTTTTTGATTTTCCGTACAGCACTAAATTTAAAATTGTGCTTTTTATATCTTTCTTTGACGCTGTTTGCCACTCTATTTATATGATTTTTCTCCTTTTTTGCCACTGACTTCTTTTTACAATTATCACAACTCCAAGTACCTACAAAAAATTTAAACATAAAATATCATAGAATGATATACAAATTTCCACTGTGCAAATATAAAAGAACTAAGGAATCGAAAAGAAAGAAGATAAAATTATTAATTCACGAAAGATAAATATACAAAAGGACAGTTTAAGAATCAATAAAAAAGTGTTTATATAATATTTTTAACAATAGGTTTATTAATATCATATATTTGAATTTGTGTAACCATAACATGGCCAGGGTGCATAGCGAGATTTTTCAACAAAAAATAAGCACCTTTTAAATATTTTTTAAGCACTCAATGAATATTTTTAATCACTTTCCGAAAAAAAATTAGTGCAGCAATAAAATAGTTATCTGTGCAGCAATAAAAATTATTTTTTCTATCGTTTAAAGTATAAACATAAATTAATAAAATTCAAAAACATTTTCAAAAACTTTGAGTCATAGGTTCGTGAACCAGTGACTAGAAGACATTACGAGTCTGTACACATTTTCGCAGGTCAAAATACGTGTGTCTATTAGAATTTTCCTTAAAAAAAACTTGAGAAACTTAATTTATATGAAAAATTAGAATTCAAAGTAAGTTTACAATCATAATGAAATAAGCAATTTTGTGACAATAACACAGACCAAAACATGAAACTGAAAATCAAAAAAATCGATACAGTACAAAACCCCTGTACATTGATTGCCTATCCCGAATAGTCCACTGATAATTATTTTATGTGGATTAAATCATATCTTAGGGTTTCCAGACCAGAATAAATTGAGATCTGCATAGAGACACAACCCATAACTCAACAGAAAAAGTAGTGGCAATGACAAATATAATTAAATTCAAATAGCATTGTCTATTTAGATTTTCTTATAAAAACATCACTATAACAGTCAAATTTCCCTTGACACATTATGCAAAAGCCACATTATATCCTAAGTAGTACAAAAATTACATAAAATGTNAAATAATAAAAGATCCAGGAAGAAAAGTGAAACGGATTTTATTCTAAATGGCGCAAATGAGAATTTTTTTTCAAAATGCGAGAAATTCGCGAATTTTGAAATAGGTTTATAGAATGCGCGAATTTCTCGCGGTAATCATTTTTTAATGCGAGAATATAAAAAAATATGCGAGATTCTCGCGTTCTCGCTCTGTAGTGAAAACACTGCAATTATTAAACAATTCAAATTTGCAATTCAAACATGATTTGAAATTTATGTTTCTTATAAAGAAGATATCCGCCATGGCAATGAAAGGAACAGTCGAACTTGCTGATTCAACAGAATCAGCAATGTTGACTGTTCAACGACTTAAATGGTCAGTGATTGCCCGTAACAAAGAACTCATACTGCCTGCTGTTGCTTGTAAAAGTTAACAGCCAGTAATTTTGACTCATGATTATATATGAAAACTTGCTACTATTGTCTGGAATAAAGACTGTCTGCACCTAATTAGTATAAAATTTCATTAATGCTGTCTGCATAGCTATTATAAACAGCTTTCTTGCAGAATAAAAATTGTCTTCTAATGTAAGATTTCTGAATTCTGAATTTCTCAGATTTCCAGATTTAAATTTTCTTCTTAACTGATCAGTGTTACTTCAAAATATAAGTCGGGAGAACAGTGTGAAACAACTTATTTCAATAAAGACTATTTTCAAAAACATATTAGTCATTTTCTTTTTAAAATATCCATGATAATCCAAGTAAACTAAAAGTACACAGTAGTTAAATGAATAAAATACTAATATTATTAAAAAATGTATCATTAAAGCAGCCGTTTATGAGAAACCTCAATATAAAATACAAACTACTAAAATATATTATTTAAACCGATATATTAAGTTTTCACAAACCTCTTGCAGGCCTTGGAAAACATGGAGTAGTACAAGTGGCATGGTATATTTTGTCACACAAATTGCAGCACAGCATACGTTTCTAAAAATGTTAAATGTAAAATATTAAAAGAGACGTTTAAAAAAATAATTTTAAAAACTACAAATAATATTCAAATAAACCAAAGGACAATGACTCTAGGATTGAAGACAATCAAATTTAGGGTCTCGTGCTTTATGGATACTTACAAATGACTGTCACTTACTCTTTAAGAAAACAGATTGTTCAGTTATTATTTCTAACATTATTTTTAAATAGAAATAGTTTTCAGATTGCTTCATTTTACTTAAATTAACAAACAAAGTATGAATAATTAGAAAAAACACTTCTACTTTAATGTGAATTGTTACTTTAAAATAAAATAAGGTATAAAATTGGGTTAATTTTGAAAAATTAGTATTAGTAAATAGAAGAGGATAATAATAAACTTTTTTCTCAATTACTTTGAATACAAAACTTTGTATAGAATTCACAAACATTTTAACATGATACTTCAAGATTCTAATGGAGGTTATTGGCATTAGGAATTTAAAGATCTTGCCGAAGTATTAACTATTATTCCTTATTGTAAACTCATAAACGTTTTATCTAATTTATTCAAATTAATTGTAATGTAATTGTTTATTCAAATTAATTGGCCAAAGAAAAAATCAAGACAACGTTCTTCAAAAAAAAAATTTTAACACTACAGTTATACCAGACTTAAAAGTATTATTTGCCACACCAAAGTATAGTAGACAAATATTATAATACAAATGAATAATAAATATTCTATTTTTAATTTCAAGTATAATTTTATTAATGAAGTATTTTACCACTCATAATAGTTTGAAAAAAATATATGGAAAATTTTTATAGTACTGTCTCAAAAATAAATTAATTAAATAAAGACTAATAAAACAACATCACTTTATTTATTCCTCTCATATCAATATTTATTTATTACTGATATGAGTTTATATCAATTTTTGTAAACTTTCTTTATCAAATAATTTCAAAGTAGGGTTTCAATAATCTCGAATTAAAAACAGAATAAATATTAGAGCCGAAATTTAACGAATTATCAGACAATTCACCTTTCTAAAATTTTCTGACATGATTACTCTGTTATTGATTGAAATCAATTATATTTAAAATTGAATAAAAGAGATGAATCAATAATTGAGAAACTACAAAATGCCAGTCTATAAGATTAAGTGTTAAATAAAAACAAATAAATCATAAAATGTATTCCTCTCCTTAAAAAATTTGATAAAAAAAAATTGTTAATTACTTTTCTTTTACCTAAGTTGGCTGAATTCATAAAAATGTTAACCAATGAATCTCGCGGTTTATATCTCCTGAACAAATTAGCGTACAATCTTAAGTTCGAACTATTAAATTTTGGGATTTTTACGATCATTATTGAAATGAAAAGATATTGGAACGTAAATCCAAATCTTTCAATTCTTTACATCAATTATTATAAAACCTGTATCAGTATAATTTTTACTGGTAGAAAATTTAACATTTTGAGCACACACAAAAATCAGAAATATCAGGACAAGTTAAAAATCAGGCTAAAAATAGAGACAAAATATCTTTTAGCTGGAATATCAGAACATCTACGAACCCTACTTTTTCCAGTCAGATATTAAAATGGTTTAATGATAATCATTAAAGAATTTCATTCATATTAAAATGATTTGCATATCTGTGAAATTAAAATTAAACTAATAAAGATAATATTAATAAAAGTACTTCTGTGAGAAAAATAACATTACTTTTTCAGTTTTTTCTCCACATATAACACATATTTTACAATGAAAACACTCCCATTTTGATTCATTAATTACTTTCAGAGCTTGGGGCAGCAATCCAAAACAAGAAGGATGTCCTAAGAAAATAAACAAAATATTTTGATCAAAAATAAACACTTTGATCAAGAGACAAAAAAAATAATTAATAAATAATTAGAAATTACTTACGCACGAAATTCATAAGAATCACTTATTTACAAAATGAAAGTGCAAAGAGAAATTAAAAAAAATTATAAAATATGAAATCAAAATAATTCAAAAATATTAAATTATTACATAATTAGACAACGTGAATGAGAAAAAAAATCGACTCCATTCAAAAAAATTAAATATTCCTTGAGATAAACCTTTCCCGTTTTTATTATAGTAGCTAAAAAAAATTCTAAATAATAAAATTCTGAAAATGCATACACAGAAACCCAAAATTATATTTAAAAAAAATACATACACAACATTTCAATTAGGGCTAGATGCTCTAAAAATAAAATTTAAAGTTGCCGATTTGGAGTAATTTGCTCTCTCCGTATATAAACAAAAATACATTTACTTATGAAAAAATTTAGTCAATAAAAATTAAAAACTTTTAAAAAATAAAATTTTTGTAGCACGCAAAACACATCAACACTCTGCAACTTGAAAAATAAAATTAAAAAAAAATCTAAAAGTTACTTGATAAATAAGAGGAAAATAAATGAATAATTAAAATATGGTTAACTATCTCTTTCAAAATACATTTATAATTTCAAAAATAAAAATAGAACACAAAAACTTAGAGAAATAATATTTATTTTTGCTATATCATGGCAAGTTTTTTCAAGGAAATAATTATACTTTCAATCACAGAAAAAAACATGATTTTTAGCAACTTTTATGTCCATTTTTTGAAATGACTTGCTTTAATCTTTTATTATCTCTCTTCCTAGCAAACAAAGGACATCATTTTCTTTCCCAATTAAACATTTTCAGCTCAGCTAACTTTGTCTTCATCTCATAATTTTTTAATATCACGGATACGAATCGCGGTATTAGATTTTCAAATAGTCTGAACATGAATCTGGGTGTGCGGTTTTGAAACAGAGTGAAGAAGAATCGCTATGTGTAATGTTTAAATAGCGCAACTATGAATCTCAATGTGTGATTTTAAACAGTGAAAAGATGAATCACAACATATGATTTTTAAAACAAATAGCATTGTGACTCTATTCTAGATGAAAGAAATATTAAAATGATTTAATAATTCCTGAGAAATAAAAATTATAACTAATCATGTTTTTAAATTTTAATCACTCAAAAACTATTTAAATAATTGTTAAAAACTGAAATATGATTTTTGATTAAAGCAATCTAAATTAAAAAATCTATTCTCAAACTAAGACAATATTGCACCAACATCTCAGCTTGCTTTCATCTTCGAAAATACAATAAAAAATTACAAAACATAAAAAAAATCAATTCTCCAGTTTTTACAACTTTTAAATTTACGAAACTGTTGAAATAACAAAGTGTATTGCACATCCATCAATTTTAAAAATTACACAGAAATTTTTATAAAAATTTGACAAGACAATTTTAGAAAGAAATTCACAAATGATAACTTGAAATATAGAATTATACTTAAATTTGAATATCAGGAAGATTCTACATACCAGAGCTATTACATATGTGACAATTAAGCAGGCATTCAAATCGGCCATTTCTTGCAAAAGCACCTTCTTTGCAGAATTGACAAACCATCAAAGGAATTTTCTAACAAGAAAAATTACAATTAAACATTTTGTTTAAAACTAATTTAATCTTTCATTTCCTGGTCACTAAAAGTACTTTCGCAGATGATTTTATGATGGCATCGTTAAAATTTAAACATTCTTATTAGTCTGAAAGTGGTCAAATTTTTTTAGGCAATTAAGGATTGGGACTAACAGAATTACAGTGCGTAAAAGAAATGGCTTTAGCTTTTGATCAAATAGCTGAATAGTTGATCTAATGAACGGATCTTCACATTCTAGGAATCCAACTTCATAGTTAGAGGGGGTGACCTAAAATATGTTAATTAGTGAAGGACAATATTTTAAGTTATGAACTCAGGCACAAAAACATACTTTCTCTGAATAAGCATATCTTTTTTACATAGCTGCAATCTGTGAAATATAGTCCCAACAGTATGGTCAAGAGAGAGGCCAAAAGTTAGACCCCTTAAAGTCAGTTTTACTTTTTGCGTAGTTCGCCATTTTGAAATCTTTTTCAGCAAAATGAAAATTTTTCTTCCAGAATTATAAGATTTTTTTATTATTTATCATTAATTATTCTTTTAATTTTATTAATTGGCAAAAAAATTTGAATTGTAAGGCATTCATAATTTTACATCACTTTAAAATGTGTCATTTTACAAGGCAAAATATAAAATTTAAACAAAATCGGTTGAATAGATCCTGAGGAATCAAATTTTAAAAAAGTAACATGATTAAAAATGTATTTCTCAGGAGCTAATCAACAGATTTCACTCAAACTTTGTATTTTGCCATGTAAAATTACATACTTTAAAATGATGTAATAAATTGTATACCTTACAATTCAAAATTTTTTTGACTATTATTAAATAAAATTATTAAAAAAAATAAATATATATTAAAATTATTGGGTTTTTGAATTGCGTAAATATGAATCGTGNATTAAAAAATTGTATACCTTACAATTCAAATTTTTTTTGACTATTATTAAATAAAATTATTAAAAAAAATAAATATATATTAAAATTTATTATTGGGTTTTTGAATTGCGTAAATATGAATCGTGATGCACATGATTTTTTAGATCCAGTGAATAGGAATAACGGCATTGGATTTTAAACTTGCTCAAATATGAATCGCGATGCATGCTTTTTAAATTAGGTAAATACGAAAATTGATGTTAGATATTAAAATTGCATGAACATGAATCTCGATATTAGAGGATTCCGGCGTTGTTTCAAATATTAAAAACTACGAAAATCCGACAAACCAAAAATTATATTTGCAGAAGAGTCACATGTTTGAAAACATCTCGCTAACACAATTCAGCGAAGGTTTCAAAATTTAAATTCCAGATTGTAGAACTTAATTCTTACTTTAAATTTTAAATTGCGGTGAAAATTTCATCGGATTTCATGTTCTGACTCGTGGAAGAATGCAAATCAGAGGTCTTGATATACGCGGAATTCTGCACACAAAAAAATCACTCCTTATTTTTAGTTTCTAGACCTGGAGAAATGATACGAGAAACCCGGAATACAATCTACCCTGAAAAAACTATTTTTTATTACTATTTTGCAAATTCCAAACATATTTCAAAGTAACAAATTTGTCTTATGCAAAATAGTATATCTAGTTATATTATATATAATTTACAATCAATCAGTATATCTTTCCTTCCTCCTTTATGCAATTTTTAAATTTTATATAAATTAACTTATAAGAATACACTACCTTATTTGGACTTGAAACAGGTGTATGAGAGAGAGTTGATGGATCAAGAGACCCCTTGCGGAAGGACAGCCTTTTTAACTTGTAATTCCTTCCTTCGTGAATAATCAATCCATTAGAAACAGCTCTCTTTGCTGACTGAAGAAGCTGTTGTCCAAGATCAGTACCCGGATCAATACTAAGGGAAAAAGTCTGCCGTAAGTATTTCTCGATGGATCGCAAAGTGGAACCATTGTTCTCCCCTAATTCTCGTATTGCTCTGATAATGACTTTACCAAGATCAGCCCCAGAATGCACACGAAGAGTACGGCTTTTCATGTTGCACATTGCACCGGGGTCTTTGTAAGACAACAACCCTTTACAGTAAACCTGAAAAATACATTGAAAATAAAATATGCTTGGGAAAATTGAATGAAAACTTTTAATCAAATTAAGTTTAAAGATGTTTGAGTACTGGGAAATTTAATACACCAATAAATATATCACTTTTAAAAATCTATTAGTTAATTGTTTACTATATTATAGCAGACAAACAAGGATGGAAATCACTCTTATGTTCACAGACATCTGATTACTGGAAGAAGAAATTATGTGAAATTTCAAAGTGTTTCCTTTATTTTCTTCATCAATACTTAGAATTAAAAAACATTAAACAAGGTGAGATCCAAAAATAATTAGGAATTTAGAAAATAATTTACATCTAAAATATATGCATAAATTGTGGCATAGAGGAATTGATACAATTTTGATTGACAACAATTATTTGTAATATGAACTGAATATTTATAATCTAAAAAATAATTTCCTCTTTTTTTTCAATATTTTAGTAACTGTTTTTACAAAAACCAGTAAATAAGTTTCAATAATTTTGGCTTAATTCTTATAGACAATATACATAGTATAAATCATAATTTAATAGCAATCATAATGAAAGTATCGTGCATGACTTTACTTCAAATAAAATTTCCCAAAAGACAAAGAAAAAAAGCTTATACCAAATTTCTTTCAGTTATTATCAGATTAGACAATTTTTGACACTCTTCAACAGGTTTTTGATGAGTAATGTCAAAAGTCAGTTTTTGACATAAAAAGCCAACCCTGCACCTTTTGTCTGAGAACTCTGTTTCTGCTTAAGTTTTATAATTGTTTGGTTTACTTGTCTTTTGATAATAGAGGTTTTCAACAATGTAGGAATTTTGGCATAGATCTGCAACTTCACTAAATCTTAACAATGTGGATAATGAGTAATGAGTATGAGTTTTGAAGAATGGCTATCACAGCTTGACACAAATTTCAGAGAGAAAAAAGAATATTTTATGATTCATCGACTATCACATACAAGATTACAGCACCAAGCTAGCCTTTTTTCTGCTAACATTATTTGAAACTTAAGCCTATACACCTAAGTGTTAAAAAAAAACTTAAGTTACCATATTTTATTCTGTTTTCAATTAGTCGAATTTTCTACAACTCGAAATATTTTTAGCTTCCAAAGAGACTTTGAATTATTAAAGGCAATTACACTAACTGCACTAAGGAAATTACAGTCATTTAAAAGTATAACTTTTAAAAATTGGGGGCCATTTTAAGTAATTTCATTGAATATTTTTAATCAAACTAAGTAATACAAGAATTTTCTATTAAACTATAGCATACCTTTAATATCAATCCTTTATTTACTGCTTTTTCTAACTGATCAATAACAGTCTGTCTATGAATGTTATGTGTTTGATTAATAACATTGCAAATACGATCAACAGATGCTCTTTGCTTTTGGTATTTAACTTTTCTAATGGCAGCAATCAACCATTTTACTATGGTTGAATTGCTTTCATCGTCATCACTTCCTTCGTCTTGCATTCTTTCCTCCTTTAAGTCACGTCTATGCATAACACTCAAAAAACTTTTCAAAATAATAAACCTTACAAAACATGCTCTTAAATGAAATCAGGCTGAAGAAAGGCATTAAAATTGCTTACATCAGCCAAAAGCTTCAATAAATTAAAGTAACCTGCAAAAATAAAAGGCAAACAATAATATAAGAAAACAAGCAACATCTTTGTACTGACAAAATTAAAATGATACATGCAAAATTAAAATGAAATTCCAGCAAAATAATAATTGTTGATAGTTTTATAATTAAAAGTTTTGCTGCATTACTAACATTTAGACTGAAAAAAAAAAGGATCAATTAAAAAAAATTAGCAGAAATCAGGGTTGGGTTTTTGAATATTAAAGAAAGAATTCTGAGAAATACTTTATTTTTTGAAAATAAATGAAATAACATGCAAAACAAAAATTAAGAAAGCTAAAGAATTAAAATAAAGAGCAAATATAAACACATGTACCTAATGTGCAAAAAGCAAATGTTTAGTCATACAAGTGAGCTGATTTTAAAAATCAATTTTTTAAATAAAATTAGTAAGGCGTGTTTTGTAATATAACGACATAAACGTCAAGGTAGCGATACTATTTATAGGAATCGGTAATAGTTATGCTAATATAGAACAAAGAAGTTCAATACAGTTATATACTACATTTAAATTTGCACAGTAATGTAATGGAAAATTTTATTAAATTAAGATATTATTTATATTCAATATCCATACTACACTCATCATCAAATTTTGGCAACAATTGGGAAATGACACATGAGAAATCAAAAGATTCTTAAAAGGCACAACTTAAAACCACTTTTGGGCCCTGTGGCAGAATCTGCAAGATATCTGCACACACAATCTGTAATATATCTGCAAGATAAAATAATTAAATACCATGAAATCTGTAGCAGCAATTACCCACTAAAAAACAGATCAATGACGAAATGCCCAGACTCGTTAATACAAACATGGTAGCTTAAATGCATACTTCGTTTCAAGATTCGTTTGTTGTAATAAATAATACTGTATTAAAAATATCGGGTTTTAAAAACTATGTAGAAATCAAAAGCAATAACTGCCAAAAAATATCAAGAGAATATTTGCCTTAAAAAGTAAATGATCAAATGTGCAATTTGTATCTCCCATATCACTTGAAAAATATTGGGATATCTAAAAACCGTGTGAAAAGCAATGTGAATAACTGCCGAAAATAAAACCAAAATGGATTTACAATATCTGCCTACATTGAGAGCTTCAAAATATTATTATTTAAATGCACTATTTGAATTTTACGTATACATTTCTGCAGAAAAGCAAATCAAAAAAATATCTTTCTGTAAGAAGTCTGTAAACTTCTGCGACCACTTCTGCCATGGCTTCTCAGCAGACCAAATTTTTAAAAAATTCACTAAATGGGGAATAGAAGCGGCACCACTGCCGAGGCACCAAATGAATGTTTCCAAATGTTTTTAATAAAACTTGTACAGGTTTTCCCGAGGATGGCTTCAAGTTATATATTATTATATATATATAATATTACTTTTTCAGTTACAACCATCTATGATTTCATCTTTTTTTCTTAAGTTTTTCGTAGACTTCTACCAGAACACAGAACTCAACCCACTAGTAGAAAAACATGCATTCACTTTAGAGGCGGCAGCTACCGCAAAAATAAAAAAACAGTTGTTTTAAAATTATGTTGAATTTAGTCCAAAGTTGAAAGAATATTCACATATCAATAACTGTTCTTGTCAACTATAATTTACAAGATGCCAAGTGAAACTACCAGGATGTCATACTTAAAATATATTTTTAGAATACCAAGTTGTTTACTTAGGAGTGGCTTCGGGTTTTACTTTTTAAACTTAACCAATTTTTTTTCTTTAGTTTCATGCTTGCCAATAACTGGTTGTTGTCAAAACATGGTAATAATTTATGTGCAGTCATAGATACAGAAAACAAATTGGATCAACATGCACAAAAATATATTTACACACTAATGAAAAAAATGGAGCATCTGAGGAAACTTTTCTCCCAATTACTGTTCATAAAGGGGGACATTATTTGACAGATGTTTATGCACTGCCAAACCGTAAAAACAGAGTAACTTTAATGTCGTTGGTACAATGGAATTTATCCATTCATGTAGTTACGCATACATGGTAAAAAAAACACTTTGAAATGATAAATGAAAGGGAAAAAATTTTATTTAGAAATGATATCTAAATATTATAAAAATACAGCAAAGATGATTATCCTAAAAGTACTACCAAGTGCATCATTTCTGAGAAATATCATTTCATTCATTTACTTTGGGAATGCAGACTTACTTAAATTGGGAATGCAGAATTAATTCGCATTAACTTCTGTATCTAATTTGGATAACAGATTGCATTTTAAAATAACAACCTTTACTTTTTGAAAGAAAAAAATATAATCTAAGGNTACTAATAGAGTGCATTGAACTCAAACTTATTTTTTATTTACAGTAATTTAGGACAAAAATTATGTTATGGGATAACAGATTGCATTTTAAAATAACAACCTTAACTTTTTCAAAGAAAAAAATATAATCTAAGGGTGCAATTTAAAAAAAACTGGAAAACATTAAGAAAATAAATAAAATTTCTAATGCAGTAATAAATTGGATGATTACCTATGTGGAAAACAAAGGAATATAAAAATTTTAGCTATAAAATCACCATAAATATCATATAATAATTTTGCTACATTCGATTTTAGTGATCATAAGAAATTAACACAATGTATTCAAATCACAAAGTATGACATACATCTAAAAAAATATATATTTTCAAGATTTTTGAACTCACCATATTTAATGGAATTCGTCACTAACTAGATATAAATTACTAATTATGCATGATTCACAATAGGTATTTTGTGTAAAATTACGACAAATATCACATAAAGTATTTTCTTTTCTATCATCTACAGATGATAAGCCGTACGAGTACACTATGTTTTGAATCTCAACCAAATCACTTCAACAACACTGCTGTTTAACTCCTATAGTATAAACATGGTTTTCTATGATCGACGAAGAAACATGAGTCTCTGCTAAAATTAAATAATCCTTCTCATAAAATAAAAAACTACATAGTCACCCACATACAGGAAAAAGCTTCGATTCCGACGAAACAACTAAAACAAAAGACGAGAATTATAAATATGGCTGCAGAATAAATAAGTATATCGCCTCGTCGAGTCAAACTGTGTTTGGTACGATTAGGCGGGTTCAATTAAATAAGTTGTTTCAATCACCCAACATAAAATGTGTATATATGCTGTATCTGATATTAGTGTCACACATAATATTCTAAAACACTTTTTCAGACTTATTTCTTTATTTAGGCGACTTTTTTTCAAGAAAATCTATTATTTCACCACGTACTTCCACTCACACAACAAAGATTCGTTAAACAACGAATTGTGATTGGTTAATTTAGCGGATAGAAAAAAATTGACAGTCCTCTTTTGAAAAAAAAAATTCTTGGTTTAAAAAATTAGCCACTAGAGAGCGTTTACACGAGATGAAAAAAAGTCGGCAACCGCAGGGCGGTAAATTTTAAAATTAAGTGAAATTTATTGAATGAATTAAAGTGATAGAGAAAATTAAAATAAAATACATTTTAAACATTAATCAACTCAAAAGCCTTCATCATTACAATACGAGGTATAAAAATCATATTTTTCTAACTTAACCGCACTTGCATTCACAGAGATATATGGGTTTCTTTTCTTTATTCTTATCTCTTTGCAATTCACAAGGATCTCGAGATGTAAAATTGGCACATTTGCATTGCTTAAACAAGAGTAATAATTCCCTTATTAATCAGTATCGCATTATTTGAAAATCACCCTCTGAAACTTTTTTTCAAATTTTTGGTTAGCATTGGCACGCTGATAACTATTTTTTCGCAAAGACAGGCAGCCGGATTCATTTGTATCTCTTTCTGGTAATTTTTGGCACGCATGCCAAGCAAATTGGTTTTCTCCTTGTAAATTTAAAGTATTTTGTAAAATATTTGTTACGCATTACTTTTGTTACGCATTTTCAAAAAGAAAACCTTTAAGGTAACTTAAATTAGATCTATTATTTTAGGAAAGTTTTATTATTCAAGAGTTATGTAGTTGGTATATTCATTACGCTGTGTTATTGTTTTCTATTTCCTGCAACTTAATAATGTCAGATTCATAATAACTGAGGGTTGTTAAATCCTTAGATATAATCTGTGTAAGTGTGGGAACAATCGTAGTCATAATGTCATCGACAAGTTGTGTTGAAAATCAAGCAGTGGCACGGAATAAGTTTAAAAGAAACATCGTAAAATAAACTTGAAGAGTATGACTCTTAGGAACTCCATTCAAAGCACTACATTTTTTTTTTTCATTTATTTTGCAAATGTGAAAATTTTTGTCGTGCCTACAAATACTGATGCGGAAATAAGTACTGATTTGGATAAAAAATATTAGTTTTCTCTTTACACTCTTATTGTACAAAATTTTTATTTAATACATGATGTTCTTAAGGAATTATCATTGTATTAATAAATGTATTAAATTGTGTCATGGGACTCTCTCTAGGTAAAATAAAACATGGGGTACATAAAATGATGGAAATATTTCTATATTAATGCATTTCTTCATAGTTCTTTAGGAATACTTAACTAATTATTTTCAGAAGTGTTTAAATCATGCAATTTTTAATACATATCAATGAAGTTTGAGGAACCGTCAATAAATTGTAATCGGAAAATAATGTTTTTCAACACCCTATGCCAAAAAGTATAGCAATAGATTTCTAACTTGTGACAGTTATTTTGGTTACACAAAATTTCGTGAGCCTAGCTTAAATTTTAAAAAAGAGAAACAAACTATTTTGTCTTACTTTTTTTTTCTACTATAACTTTTAAAATATTTAATAAAGTTAAGTAAAAATTTTAGAGAAATTTAAAATTAATTATGAAATTTTTGTTTTCAAATTTGAGAAAGAATTAATACTGCACAAGATATGAATAATAAAGGTAGCACTTTTATGGGCTTGCACGGCAAAAAAATTTATTAAAAAAAATTATCTTAATTTGTAGTGAATCATATTTGGCAACTATTTAAAAAAATTCCAATTGAAATATCTTAAAATTTGAAGAATTTTCCAGCAATTCGCTAAAGTAATGTTCAAGCCACCTACATTAGTTTAAGTAATCTTCAAAGAACAGGACTTTGGAATGGCTGTTAGCCCAGTTTGTACGCATTTTACTTTAATTTCATCTTTTAGAATTAAAGAGTTTTAAAAAAAATTTCTGATTTTTATTGTTCATTTTCGGAATTCATTTTTCAATTGTCTTCTTTTTTTCAGACCATCCACTTTTTCATTATCGGTTCCCTGCACTATCGGATCATTACACTATGGTGAGTTAATTATGCTATTACTGTATTTTATGCAAAAAATATTGCATTTTTAGTGTGCAATATTTACTTGTGTTTTTGCAGAAGTATATCGATAAATATATAGCAAATTTTGCATAAATACACGGAACTAATGTAAACAAAGTACCTTATTAAAAAAATCATCATTTGTTGACAATGTTGTTTCGTCTCTTATCATAAATATATATCAGGGGTAACTTTGGAGTTTTTGAGAAAGGTCCAATTTTTATGTAAATATGAAAAATCTACTCATAATTTAGTGAATTTTGAAAATTAAGTTCTCTCAGAATGAGACTTGTATCTGATTTTGCAAATTATTGTCTTCTCAATAAGTTGATCAATAAGTCCCTAAATTGATTTAAATAAGTAAAAATTAAGCACCTGAAAAACATTCACATTCAAACATATATCCTTAAATGTTACAAAAATACATATAGATTGCTACTAGGTATGTTATATTTAAGTTAAACATATAAATTTTAAAAAAATAAAATGGTGCTCAAAACGGTGAAATTGAAAATACCCAAATGAAAGGTTTAAAATATTTGTTTAATAATAATTGCAATTTATATATAATGTATGGCATTGGAGTTTAAGCCAAAAAAAATAATAAATAAATAAATATGTGTCTTTTTGCCACTTAATTTGAAAATATCGATATGCTTTTAAAAATTAAAAATATTGTATCACGTCCATTTAATTTATAAAAAATTTTGTAAAGAGTTTTTAACTAACCCAAATTTCTTCTGAAGTGTTTCTCGTATGTATGCATTTCAGTATTTTCCAACAATGGACTACTTAGTGCAAGCCAAAAGAAAGGATGTTTGAAATTGATAATACCGAACATAACTAACATTTGAACAATTGTTTTCTTTAAAGCTTTGTCTTTTTCCCCTGTTTTAACTCATAAATTTTTATAAATTGTGAATCGATAAAAATAATTTTTGAATAACAATTATAGATAATACGAAATCATGTATAGTTTGAGTTACAAATTATGATTTCTAACAAAAGAATAATTAAACAAGTGTGGTATGTTTATTTCCCCTTATTATTATTATTTGGATCAAATAAAATCTAATCGAGTGTAGCAACCAATCAAAGAACCACACAGTGTTTTTTTTTATTATTATTATTTTTTTTATTGTATGGTTGTTAAATCCCTTTATATTTTCACACTCTATTATGACTCAAAAGTTTTAAATCAAGAGTTTCAATATGACACTTAGACATTTTGTCATTCTTGAAACATTATTATAGTAAGACCAATATTTTATTGAGAATGTTATTATACTAAAGGTTAATTTCTTTTTAATTAAAAAATATTCTCCAAGGTATATTGCATTAATTTGACTTATGATGAAAGGTTTATCAATATAAATAAGGTGATGTTATTTAATTTTTTTTCTTTTCTTTAGCCTACAAAAAAGAAGCGAGCTTTTACAAAGAAAAACTCTACAAAATATATGGTTTTACATGGCCATGAATCAGCATTAAATGCTGATGGAAAAACGCTTGAACATGAGTGGGTTGAAATCAAAGGAAATTACAAACCAGTATGTAAATTTTAGTGTCTTTATTTCATATCATCTTTATTACAGTTCTTGCTACTGATATTCATATGAATTTTTAAATTTCGATATTTTCTTATGATATTATTTTTTTAAAAATTAATTTGAATCACACATTTGTGTAATTACTTATTGGCACGCTTGATTCCCACTTATCCCATATGATTATTCGATCATGTTTTTTTTTTTTTTTGTTTTGTTTTTTTGCAGTTATTGCGGTTGATTTTCACGTGATTCCTGAATTAAATCCTGATATTATTATGAAATGTGAAATTCAAATCGTTCTCCTAAGGATTCACTATTTAATGCAATAATTTTATCCGTATTCTCATTTCTACATCCTTATTCGATAATTTCACTCATGATTTTTGCATATTTTTTAAAATTTTAATATTTTTAATATGATATATATTTTACTATTTGTGAATCTCAAAACATACATTTTATTGACCCTTTCTGATGCGTATCATTTTATCCTAAAAGAACCTGGTTTAATCATCAATCTTTTTTAAAATGTTGCCATAAATCTCGCAATTTTAAATGTTTTTATGTGCCCACTACTTGCAAAGGGCTATGTTAATGAAAATAATTTATTAAATAAAAAAAATCTTTACATTTTAGAAATGTTAGTGTTGTGCAGGGTTGGAGTTTTTGCCGGCAAAAAGGGGTTTTTGCCAGGACAGTGGCAAAAACCTGGTAAAAACCGGCAAAAACTGGTAAAAACCGGCAAAAACCAAATTATCTAAATTGCTGATTAAATATTATTACAAAATACTTGAAACAAATTTAAATCAATCATAAGGAATAATAATTTTGATACATTTTCATGAAAAAATTATTTTTAATATATTAATAATTAATATACCTAAGGGTAATAATTTTTAAAAGATTGAAAGTTTTTGATCTCTTTTCATTTTAGAATCCTAAAATAAATGTTTTTTTACAAATAAATATTATTATTTGTATAATACTATTATTTATTATAAAAAATTATTATTTGTACAATAATTAACTACACATGTTGATAGATATTTTATGCTTTAAATTATATTTGTATTAATTTAAAAATAAGTTCATTTCACTGGAAAAAAGAGAATAATCACAAATTTTCCAATCAATAATGTTTTAAACTACTAAAATGATACATTATCATTTAATTATGGAATAATAGTTTTGTTAATTTTTTTGTAATTATTTATATTCATAGTATATATTTCAATTTTAGGAATAATTTTGTATCAAAAATGTGTTTTTGTCCTCTCATCTTGGAAAATATAGGTTTTTGCCACTTTGCTTGGGAAAAACCTGTTTTTGCCAGGACGGTTTTTACCGGTATTTACCATGGTTTTTTCCACCTGCGGCAAAATCTTGCCAACCTTGGTGTTGTGTATAAAAATAACTTTTTTTTTTTATTTGTCTTGGATGTGCAAAAAAGAGAGAGAGAGAAATTAAGTACTGAAAAAACTACTCATTGGGGGAAAAAAAGTTTACATAATTTCTTTTTCCGGCAATCTTCTTCTGGTATATCATTTTTTTAATCTGTAAGAAAATGAATCCTGTCGCATGGTGCATATCGTTTTTAAAAAGTGCTTAAAGGTCCTTATTTTTGTTTTTTAAACGCCCTTAAAGGTGCTTTTTTTCATTGGGTGTTTTTAAAAAGTGCTTAGTTTTTCCTTTTCGAAAATCAGATTTTTTTCTTTACCATGTTGATTTTCACTACGTATTGTGCAAAAGCGTTATTTTCACATTTTTCTATTCAGCATTTTCCCAATTCATTCAACCGCAATCTATTTCAGTGTACCGTCTATCCATAGCGTATGAAAGTGCTAATCATTTTACATGTTTGATGAAATACTTGCAGGTCCGCATGTGCGTCAACTGAGCTGGGTTTGGTGAGATTGCACTCTCATGCACAGCTCTGCTTCATTCTCAATTTCAGGCTTCATTTTCCAGATCTGGTATTGAACCAAAAAATCTTTCGATTATTTTATAATGACTAATCTAATATAATCAAGAAAAGAGTTTTTTGTCAGAAACTAGTCATATAATCATGATCATGTAAAATCTTTGAAAATTATTTTGCATTTTGTTATTGTTTATAGTGCTTAAAAATATTTTTGAGTGCTTAAAAAGTACTTAAAAGGTGCTTATGCACCCTGTATCATTTAGAAAAATTTCCATATCTCACGCCTGTAACTTGGAATATTTTATGTTCTCTTTATTGGAGATAATACTTAGTATTATTTATTCTTACATTTGTTATATTCTGAATATTTTATTATAAATGCATATGATAATTACCTTTTGCTTTACATTTAAGTTTCGCCCAGGACCAAATATTAATTTATCATTTATAGATCATTAAATATATGTTATTCTGTAAACAGCTGTTAGCTGTTAAACTTTTTAACAATGAATAAATATGTACAATTTACAATACATCCTAAAATGTGTAAAGGATGTTCTATAATGACAGTCCTTAATGAAGTAATATATACAATAGCGGGCACAAATTAATATTAATTCTTACAAAGGGACAGAAAACATAAAAATCTACTTGGTTGCCTAAAAAAACAAAAGCAATTGAGAGCAGATTATTAAAAATGCCTCTAAGTTTTTTCAGAGAATCTAGCGGGCTTTGATGTTTATCATATAAATTTTCTACTAGTGATTTGACAGATTTTACCGGTATTTTATTTCTCTCTCACTTTAATATTGATTTTACGTCTCTAATATCGGCACATACTTTTTCTTAATTTTAGAAAGAATTATAAATGTATACTTTAAGGGTGGTTGTTATGCAACATGTTTGCGATATGTGTATGCAAAAGCAGGCACTTTTATAACTTCCATTTAATATGCACTTTTAGGGAGCTTCTCTGATAATGGGCAAACTTGCTGAGTTGATGGGTGAATCTGATTCGCCTGTACCACATGCATCATCAAGCACACGTCCAAACATGGCTGCTCAACCATCTAGAGGTAATTTATTTTTTTTTATTATTATTATTGTCAATACACATTGCTTAGAAGTATAGTGGAACCTGCAAAGTTGACCTGTCAACAGGTTTCTTCCACAACCTCATTTATCCAATATAATAAAAATGTGTGAAACCTTTAGCCTGTCTCAAGTGTCTTCCGCGTATGTTGATCATTGGAGTAAGTCAAAGTCTTAAAGCGTTATTGAAAGCTATTCTAAACCCTTCATAAGTTGACAAAAAGAAATATTTTCATACTATTTATGTTACAAATTAAAATTTCACTTATTTAATGAAATTTTATTAAAAGGTAAACAAAATCTTTAATATAGCCATAGTTCAATTAAATGAGATCTTTTGTAACTAGTAGGAATTGTAATTACATTTAATAAACTAAATTTTAAAATGAATAGATTATAATAATAAATGGATTAATAAATAGATAAATAAATAGATTAAGTTTTTTAATTGTTCCATGTGTTCTAGGTACTGATGTTCAAAAAAATTATTTGTAATAAATAATCCTCATGCATAACTTGCAAAAAAATGTAGATATCTTTTCTTTTTTTAAATTATCAGTTAAGTTTTTAATGTATGTAACAAATTGTAATTCATTCTTCAAATAATCTCATATCTTGTGAAGTATGGGGATAGTTAAATAAATCAAATAAAATTGGAAAAAATTTATAAAATAAAGTTTTAAAGTAATGTTTAAAGAACTTTGTTTATATTTTATTTATTTTGTAATATATAAGAAATATATGAATAACTTGGTATAATAAATATTTTTAAAAAAAGACACAGTCCTCTAAGTTAAGTACCTCTCTAAATCGACAACTGAAGGAATACACCACAAATGCTCAACTTGCACAAATCTCACTGTACTAAATAAAATAAAAAAATCACTATTTTTTTTCAATGTAAATTGAGTTCACATTCCACAAAATATGTTAATTGTTGTTTACCTAATAAAAATTTATCATGATATTTGCTTTTTAAAATATTCTACCTATATTTGTAATAGAAAACTAATAATAAAAACGAAAAATCGTGACTGATTCAGTTATTTATTTGTTAAAGTTTTAATGCTCAGTATATTTTTAACTATTAATACTGCATCCAATTTTTAAAGTTCGTTAGCTTTTTTTTCCACCAACAGAAATATATTTGATTGTTTGGTATTGAGTTAGGGACGAATTAACACCCATATCACTGCACTATTCAATCATTTATTTTATTGAACTACTTTAATTATTTTAATTGATCATTTTTAACCAATGTGTTTAGTTCTGACATTTCTTTTTCTTAAATATCAAATTTCATGGCTGCAGCTTATGCATGAGTGCCACTCTTCAGTGCTGAGAAAAAATAATCAGTGAACTAAATCCTATCCTCCTATTAATCTTTTCCTAATATGTTTTTTAAATTTTTAAAACAAATTCCTTGAATAATGTATAAAAAAATTTTCGTAAAAAATAAATTTAAAAAAAAAAAAAACTATTTCTTAAACATTATTGCTAAATGATCCAAGACTGATATTGCACTGCAATAAAAGAATGAGAATGATTGAACTTCAGTACCGGCTTGAATTTGNCCCCCCCCCCCCATATTTTCTAACACTAGCTAGAGTTTTATTAATTATTTTTTTTTAATAAAATTTAAAATTCTGTAATAAAAACTTCATAATAAAGTGAAAAATATGTAGAGATAACGAAATGTTTGCAGTGTATTTATACAAAAATTGATTTAAAAATATATATGAGGTTAGCTGTTATTTAAGAAAAATAAACTAGTCATTGATATAGTATGTGGGCCATTCTCATGGAAGAGTACATTCTTCAGTTAAGTGAGCTATAAATTTCTGAATATTCTGCTAAGCAATGCTAGACTATGCTAATTGGTCAAAAAACGGTCTTAAAAAATTTTTAGGCTTGCAGGCATTCATATATGCCAGAACTGCCGCTCTCCACAAACTACTGTATTTATTCTCTTTTATTGTTTAATTTTATTTTAATATATTTTATGTGCATTTAAGTATTTTATGTAATTCTTTTTTTTTACCCTTCTACAAATAAAAAAAAAAATAGAGCCAGATTTAGAAGCAATACTTAACCAGTTTGAGGATGCATCAGGTTCAGAAGATGAAGATGTTTTCAGTAACATGAAAAAAGAGTTGAAAAAAATTCAGCTTCCTGGTGGTGAAAAGTAAACTATTGCTGTTGTTAATACTTTTAACTTTACAAATATTACAATATAGCTCATATTTTAAAATTTTTGCAGTTGTGATAGTTTTCTGCTTTTTAAAGTAGTCTCTCTTTATTTGTTTTTTACTGAAATTCTGCTTTATTCTTTAAATATTCCACTCTTTACAGAAATATTTTTATATGGAATTAACTTTTTCAAACCAATGTTTTTATTTTTATTATTCTATTTAAAGAAAAATTATAGCTATTGTCTAAGACACCACTCTAGTCATCTATTTTAAATTACTCAGCCGGTCTAGTTATGTTTGAAATTTCCTTATGCCTTTGACATTAGCATCCATTTCCATGCTTTCTTTTTTGTTTATTTTTTTTTCTGATAATCCAAGAAAGATAAATCTAAACAGATATGATAAGACCGAAAATTCTTTCCACTCATGTCATATCTTGATGTCTAACAGCATGAATTCCACCCCAACCCTCCATAGTGCTTGGAAGCGCTTAATGCGTTGATTTGCATGTCTTAGCTACCCAGATTTTTCTAGTTATATTTTTCACCTTTATTTTATTTTCCACAGACAATTTCGCTTTTTTCATCTTCACATCTGTTTAGTTTTCTTTATTCACATCTAATTAGTCGCGTGAATGAGGGCCTGTTTTGAGCTTTCAAAAATCTTCAATTTTTTAGATAATTTTAAAGTAGGTAGATAATTTTAAAATCGTGTGCATACGAATTTTGATATTTCGTTTTAAAATCAAGTGAATACGAATCTCGATGTTTAATTTTAAAGTTTCGTTTATACGAATCTCGATGTTTGATTTTAAAATCTCGAGAATACGAATTTTGACGTTTATTTTTAACAGCACTTGAATACGAATCTTGATACAGTAGAACTCTGATTTAAGGCCACTTTCCCATCCCCCTCGTGAATAAAAACATCCTGCCCTTAGCGTCATTTATTTACTATATAAATAATGTAGAATAAGTCCAGTATTAAGAGTGCTTTCCTTTACTACTACCTGGAAATACCGACTACGGATCATTCCATGTTTTCTTTATTTTTCTCCTGTTGAGGATGATAACAAAAGAACTTCAACACAGACAAGTGAAGAAGATCACATCGCATTTGTTAGAATGGTGTTTATCTTTCAAGTGTTAAGTTCGTCATCCCATGTTGAGGTGATATCCATTACACACAAATGTTACACCACGTCCTCTATAAGTTATATGTCTAGTATTGCACTGACCAGTGAAACAAATTCTATTCTCCTTTTACACCTATGTTTGTTTAATAATCGAACAATGGAAGTAGGTTAATATGATGTCATTGGGAACCTAAAGGCGGCGTGGTTAAAAAAAACGCACCTTCTTTTTCTTCTCATTTATTTTGAAATTGTACTGAAAAAATTGCTGCAAAACGGAAAAGCTAGCATTATTGAAAAAACTAAACAATTTGTTCGTACGAAAAGTGAATTGGCCTCGTCTTTAGGACTTCTTCTTTTAAAACAATTCTTCATCAGCAAGAGGTCATAGAATCAAAATTACAGGCTTTAGGAAAGAACCTCAAAAAAGTGAAGGCGATGAGATCTACTCCTTATGCAGAACTGGAAAAGATTTTGATGGAATGGACTCAGCAAGCACATTCTGAAAATCTACCAATTAACAGATCAATTTTTAAAGAAAAGGCTCTGGAAATTGCAGCCCTTCTCAATTTGAAAGGTTTTGCAGCGTCAAACGGCTGGCTTGACAGGTTTAAAAATAGAAATAATTTGGCATATCATGCTATGTGTGGTGAATCGCAAAGTGTGGATGAAACAACTATTGAAGATTGGAAAAGTAAGACGTTGCCAACACTAATACAAAATTATTCTGCAAGGAACTTTTTCAATGTAGAAGAAACTGGATTATTTTTTAATCTGTTTCCTGATAAGACATCATCATAAAAGCAGAGCAATGTAATGGAGGAAGATTGTCCAAGGAAAGGTTAACTGTTCTTCTATGGTGCAGCTCTGATGGAAGTAAAAAGTTTATACCCCTCATTATCAGTGGCTATACAAATTCATGTTGCTTCAAAAATGTTAAAACTTTTCAAAACACCTACTTAAGTTTGAAATATTTTATTAAAACAATGGATTATATTGAATTTTTAAAACGTATTTGTGTTTGTTTGTTTGTTTTTTTTTCTAGTTCATATAGTAAATAAGATAAATATGTATTATTGTGCTATTTTACATAAGTTACCTTTTCATACCGCCGATATTGTGACTTTCCGCTTCTAACAACGTTTGTGACCAGTCCTGCGAAAGTTGTTAAATCGATGTTCTATTGTATTTGATTTTAAAATCACGTGCACACGAGTTTTGGAATTTTATTTTAAAATCGAGTGAATATGAATCTCATTAAAAAAAATTATAATTTAGATCAAATTCTTAATGTTATGAACAGCATTGATTCTTGTATTCAGTTCGCCTTTGAATTAGAGTCTGATCAAAAACTTCCTTTCTTAGATGTTCTTGTGACTCGGAATGAAAATTCATTCCATACTACTGTCTTTCGTAAACCTTTTGCTGTTTCTCTTCCCCCTCACTACAAATCCTCCCAACCAAAAACTTGCATCTTTTCGGTCTTTTGTCTACCGTGCGGTAAATATTTGTTCTAACATTGATTTTCCTGATGCATAATTAAATTACATCAAAGCCATTGCTCATGACAGAGGTTATTCTCCTAACGTTATTGATAATATTTATAAAAACTTAACTAAACAATCACCTACCGAAATACCTTCCAAAGAATTTTCTAACAATTTAGTCATTTTACCCTATTTTCCTAAAATAAGTCTGCAAGTTGCTAATATCCTGAAGAAGTTTGATTTTAATATTATTTTTAGTCCCATTAATAAGATGAAATTTTCTAATCTCTAACAGCCCATTGACAGTCAAAGTAACTGGGGTATATACCAAATTAATTGCCAATGCCATGGGTGGATAGTGAATTTGTGGGGTCCTGGGCTGAAACTACTTAGGGGCCCTAATAGCCATTTTGTCAAAAAACTGTTTTCTATAGTGATGTAGATAAGTATATAGAAGAAAATTGGACAATAATTTTTTTTTCATTATTTATTTTTATTTGTATATACAAACAGCAACTGTACAACATTATTGCAAAAGAAATTGACAGGTTATGTGTAGTTTTATTATATAAATTACAAAGCAACCTTTCTGCATTTTTGTGCTGCAAATTCCTTTATTTGCTCATCACATTGTAAGTCCTTCGTTAAATCACAATTTATGGAAAGAACTGATAAATGGTTTAGTCGATGGTTCGACATTGTTGTCCTATATTTGTTTTCTATATATGACATCCTGGAGAAAGAGCCCTCAGCTTCGCAGCTAGTAATTGGCAACGTTAAAAAAATCTTTAAGATAGTATAGCAATTTGGGAAAACATCAATAAGTTTCTTTTCATAAATTTGCATAAAAATTTCACTGTAAGAGGTGTAAGACTCTGGCTTAGACTGAAGTAAGTAAGATTTTAACTGAATGCACTCATTCGCTAAATGCTCGTCTGCGTCATCTGGATAATAATCAACAATATTACGTACACTTTCCAGATCCATGTATTCCATATTTTTGTCTTGCCAATCCATTAAAAATTTGAATTTCTTGCTATACATCTCATAGACTTGGCTCCTTTTATTTAAATCCATAATCAGCTTATCCAACGCAACGTTTAGCGTGTCTCTTTTAAATTTTTCTGCCCCGTATACTGAGAATTTATCTGTAGACTAATCTGAAAATTTTGGAGTATTGCGTCTCTTGTTTATGTCATTGTAGTCCATTCCCACACTAGTACTAAATTTTTTAGCTTTTTCTTAGTATTCCTTTAGCTTCTGATCTGATTGGTACCTTACTGCTCACGAAGTCTTTTAATGACACAATTAACTTGTTACCTTCACAAATATCTAAACCAGTGCTCTGTATTTTTTTATTAATTAAATTAAATCTCCCCAAAAAATAATTAAAATTGCACTATCGAGTTTCGCCATTTTATTGAATAACTTTCGTGCCTCTTTCCGGAAGTCAACTTTCTCATCCTCATTTTAGCTGAAACGTTCGAAAATTTTCATACTGTCATCATAATTATTTTTCAAAGCTTCGACAGCATCATAGTGACAAGACCATCTGGTCTGGCTTAAACTTTTTAACGTAAATTTGAGTTTTGTTTCATGATTTAACAGTTCCCACCTATGGGTCAAAGTAGAAAAGAACACGTATATTTTTTGCACTACACTGATGAGTGCATTACAATAATGAGTGCATATTTTTTGCACTACAATAATGATTGTTACAATAATGAGTGCAGTAATTCACAAATTATCATTAAAAATCGATTAAAAAGTTCATTTAGTATTAAAAAAATACATTAAAAACAAAAAAAAACATGATTTATAATTCTTTTTACTTACCAACTAAAAGCAGGAAATCTTTTCTTATACTGATTATGTACTTTCAATTATAAGTAAAATAAGAGAAAGGTCTTTATAACTTTTGAGTTATCATTTATTAGTAAACTAAACAAGTTTGTCACTTTGACGACGAGAACAGAAGTGCGTGGAAAAGAAACAAAATTACGTCGGGCGTTAAGCGGCGCGGCAGGAAGTCTCCCGTAAGAGACGCGAAAAAATACACTGACCAAGTTTTTTTTTAATATTAGATATTTTTTTTAATTCAAAATATCACCTATTGTTTTCAGTGGGGACTGGGGCCCTTTGTATCCACGGGGCCCTGGGCTTCAGCCCAAAAAGCCCTTAAGTAGATCCGCCCCTGGCCAATGCGGCCTTTCATATATTGGCCAAACTAAGCGTGCCGTATCAAGGAACATGAAGCCTATGTCAAAAAACAAGAATTAAAACGCTCATCTATTGCCCAACATTGTTCGGACTCTAATCATAATTTTGATTTTTCTTCTTCTAAAGTCATTCAAAATTGTTCTTCAATTTTTGA